CCACTTGACCACTTGCCTCTGCTGAACGCAGGCTCACTCCGAAAGGCCACTTCTAGAAACATCTAACTTGGCCTTTCGGTACTGTAGCAGCTACGACTTTGCCCTTTCAGGTAAGTGGCAGCTACGACCTTGACCCTTCAGGGAGTCTACAGCTACGACCTCTAAACTGCCTAGACTCCTATCCTACAGGTCTACAGTTCGAATTCCTCCTACCCTGTGATCTACGAAGAACTACCTACCATTGGCGGTCCTACAGGTAGCAGGTTCAAATCTACGGGTTGACGCCGGTACTGTACACAGGTAAGATGGGGAACTAGGGATCGAGCCCTGGGATCTGCATCAGCTACTGCGAACTGGTGAATACCGTTTCACTCCCGCCGGCCTAAATTCGAGGTCCTCCGAGAAAATTTCAGTCCAAGGCAGGACCTTTACCTCGCTGTTGTCTCTCGGAGGCCCGGACTATATCGGGAGCTGTCTCTAGAAGTTCAGATCTCGTAAACCAGCGTTCGTCTTCCGGTTCTTGATAACTAAAATGAACCTTGTACTGTTTCTGCGGACGACCCCTACCTCCACTTCTGAAGTCATCTTCAGCCACTATACCATCGATGTCATATCTTCCATCCATATCCGGTGGGATCATGGATCTACGGGATGGAAACTGATCACTTGTTTGACAAGGTAATAACTTCGATGCATGGAAAACTGGGTAAGTGTGGAGGTGTGCTGGGAGTTCTATGGTATAGGACGGTCCATCTTCGCCGCCCTTGACTTCTAGAACGGGCCACGGTCCTCTATATGTGGGCAGTAACTTCTGCGAGATGTTCTCCTTAGGTGCAAACTCCTTAGAACTGACCCAGACTAAGTCGCCTACTTGAAACTGTGAGGGGCGACGATGTTTGTTCGCTTGCTCTATCATCCTATGCTGGGCCTTCTTGAGGTTCTCTACAACAGTAGCTAGTTCTTTCTCGTGTTGTACAGCAAACTCCCTGGTCCCGGGCGGTAATCTGTGAATCTGATCCCGGTTGAGTCCCTCAAACGGTCTGCGCGGTCTAAAGGACTTGTGCAGTTCGTTGGGAGTGCGGCAGGTGGATAAATGGACGTTGTTATTATATGCACTAGCTACTTTAGGCAACATCTCGTCCCAATTAATATGATCTGGCCTAATGTACATGCGCGAAACTTGCTGTAGGATCTTGTTCATTTGCTCTGTCTGACCGTTAGTCTCTGGATGACGGTCGGACGACATCAACAACTTAGATCCATATACTCCCATGAGTTCTTGCCAGTTCTGGCTAGTAAAGCGACTATCTCTATCGCTAACTATAGATAGTGGGATTCCATTTCCACTCACCCAACAGTCAAAAAACCTCTGTATGACTAAATCAGTACGTGCCTCTGAAGGCAAAGGAACAAAGACTGCGTACTTACTAAAACGGTCGACTACGACCATGACTTGGCTCTTGCCATGCCTGCTCTTGACTTGGGTGTCCATGAAATCTATGGACACTGAGTCTCCTGGCTGATCCGGAATGGGCAAGGGTCTGAGAAGACCTAGTGGGGCGCGCGTAGAACTCTTGTTACACTGGCAGACTTTGCAACTGCGAACATACTCTACGTAGTCATTCTTCATCCCCGGCCAGGTATACGCGCGCATCAGATTGGCTAAAGTCTTTTGCCAACCGAAATGACCCTCTGTGTCATGACATCCCCCAAAATCAGACTACGAATCTCTTCACTACTGGGAATGCACAGGCGGTCAAATACATTAGTCTTCTCGAAGAGCAACCCTTCAGTAGTGCGATAGTTCGGCTCAGTCTCTGGGGCCTCCTTGACCCTCTTAAGGAGGTCACTACAGATAGGGTCCTGCGCATATGCTTCTCTAATCTTCTGCTGCAGGTCCTTCCCTATATCTAGGTAGTGCACTATTGCCCCAAAGTAATCAGCTCTCCTACTCAGAGCATCCGCAACTACATTATACTTTCCTTTGACTGGCTTGAGCTCAAAGTCGTACTGATCTATCTCTGCGGCCCACCTAGTAAGCTTAGGTGTCATCTTGGCCTGTGTCTTTAGCCATCTTAATGTCTCATGATCGGAATAGACTTTGAAGTGCCTCCCAAGCAAGTAGTGCTTCCAGTGGTCTAACGCTTGCCTGCGAGCGTAGAGTTCCCTTTCATAGGTAGATGTCGCGACCTTCTCTGAAGGCATCCTGGCGGACATGAACTCGACGGGTCTATAACCATTGCCATCGTCTTGCTGCAACACCGCGCCTATGCCGTACTGGCTAGCATCCGTAGTGACGACAAAAGGCAAGGACGGATCGGCGACCTTAAGGACTGGATACTCTATCAACGCCCTATTTTAACTTCTTCATAGCAGACGTGCAGTCCTTGTCCCACTTCCAGATAGTCTCCTTCCTGAGCAATCTGCGAAGGGGCGCAACGATGGTGGAGAAGTTCCTCACGAACTTCCTATAATAGTTAGCTAGGCCTAAAAACGACCGCAACTCTGTCAACGTACGCGGTGTTGGCCAATCTCTAATCGCCTCAATCTTACTGTCTTCAGGCTTAACGCCGTCTCCGTCTAAGACGCGGCCTAGGTACAGAACTTGGGTCTTTGCCCAATCGCACTTCTTTGCATTGATCTTGAAGTTAGCTTCCCTCATCTTCTCCAAGACCTGCCTAAGATGACCCTGATGCTCATCAAGGGTCTTACTAAACACAAAAATGTCATCTAAGTAAACTACGACGAATCTATCTAACCATGGCCTAAACAAATCGTTCATACACCGATGAAAAGTTGTTGGCGCATTGGTTAGTCCAAAGGGCATCACTATAAACTCATAATCCCCGTACCTAGTCTGGAAGGCTGTCTTATACTGATCATCAGGATGTACCTCTATCTGATGATATCCGGACTTTAAGTCTATCTTAGAGAAATACTTGGCCCCTTGCACTCGATCTAAGAGATCGTCTATCCAGACCCCTATAGTCTATGCACATTCTCAGCTCTCCCTCTTTCTTAGGAACAAAGAGAACAGGCGCTCCGAAAGGAGACGAACTGGGCCTAATCCAACCCTTCTCGAGGAACTCGTCTAATTGCTTGCGAAGCTCCTCTAACTCCCGTGGGGACATCCTATACACAGCGCCCTTAAGAGTTTTACTGCCAGGCTCTATCTCGATGCGGTGCTGGATGGGCCGCGGTACTACTATCGGCGGCTCAGTTAGATCCTTGAACTCGTCCAGCAGCTTGGCAATCGCAGGGTCCATCGACTTTTCTTCCGTAGGCTTAGTCACTGGCCTAACATAGGCGACAAAGACCTGTTCCTCCAATTTCTCCTTCTTCACTAATCTGGCCAATGCAGGCGCACTAAGGCAACAGTGTGCCAAGGGATTCTCTACTCCTGACACATGGAGGCGGGCAGTCTTAGCCTCGCCTGAAGAGCTAGGGAGCCTACACTCATGCTCCTTCAAATGGAGCGTGGCCCCGACTGCCTCTCCCCAATCCATTCCCAGGACGATATCAAATGGGAGGCTGTCTTCTACGAAGAGAGTCAGGGAGTGGAGAACCTTCTCCACTTTCCCATCCTTCTCTAGGCGGAAGTATGCCTGGACTCCCACTATGTACTCCTCTACAACCATAGTACGATTGTCCGCGAGGATACTGACTATAGGGTCTGCTAGCTTTTGGACTTTAAGTCCCAGCTTCAACTTTTGCAGCGCTTTCTTGCTAATATAGCTGCGGGTGGCCCCTGAGTCTACTAGGGGCCTTACTCTACTTCTAAAAATCTCCGTATCTACTAATATAAGCTGCCCTTTATTCTCCTTTTTCATCTTGGCCCAGGCGGGCCTTCTCTCCTTCAACTCTTCGGCCACGCCTGTGAGGGAGGTGTCTAGAGAGACCCTATCACAAGCAGTCTCTGGGAAGCTATCTAGACACCGGCCTGCAACCTCTGCCATAGGCACATGTGGTGCGGTAGTCTCCTGCCGGCTAGCGCTATGTTCCCCACATGGCCTAGTGGTAGGGGCAGTTGCTACCCCTACCGGCGGCTGCCTTTTGGCCCTTGAGCAGTCGTTCGGGTCTCTCGATACTTGGGACAGTATTTGATGATGTGGCCCGGGTCACCGCAGAAAATGCACTTGCACCGGTCCAATCGTTGTTGCCATAAAGTCTGGTCCAGACCCAAAGTTTCCCAAGGCCTACCCTGCGGTAGCCCCGGGTGCCATCCTTCTACCCTGTAGGGAGACCTATTCCTAGGACGGTTTTGTGGGGGACCTTGACCCCTGCCTCCCGCTTGGCGGTTTCCTCCTCTGCCGCCAACCCCCTGATCGCCCTGGAAGCGCCCCCCCCTGAGGCCCGGCCCCTTTGACCCTGGCCTCGTCCTCCTCCTTGCGGCCTCCCTCCAGCCGCGACAGCAGTGTAAGTTCTCCCCTAGCCCACGCCGCTGTCCTCCTCCTCTAACCCCCACTCCATCTGATCGTAGGGGATCTCATCCACACTACCCTCGTCTCCAGTTAGGACAAGACTATCCTTAGTCTTCACTTGCCCAGAGATAGTGCGGCCCTTCCATTGCTTCCCCTTATCCAAATCTTTGTGCCAGAAGGTGGAGATTGACACATACTTTGCCTCGAAGGCCACCACTTCACGGCTAAGGGAATCGTAAGTGGTGGCAGGGTCTTCGCTCTTCGCGAAGAAGTGCACGCGAAAAGCTTCGAGCATCGCCCTATAGAAGAGGGCAACCAACTGGGTGTCAGTAACCCCGTGGTCAGGGACAGCTACTAGTTCGGCCATTGTGCTCTTGAGTGCCCTGACACTCTTCCACTTACGGGCATGGATCGTCTGAAGCTTGTCCGAGGCTTTGACACTTCGAGCGACATCAGCAAATCGCTCGCGCAGCAATTTCATGAACTCAGTGAGGGAAGTGAACGAGGAATACGCAACTGGATCGTCGCTGCAATTGGCAGCACGAACAAGGGACCTTGCGAAATTAGCGGCCTCATCTCTAAGTGCATGGATCGCAATTAGGACTTGCTGATCTGGGGAGACCTGTTGCAGATGCACGTAGGTCTTGACGTTGGCCTCCGAGTTGTTAAAGTTCTCTTCCCTCTTCCCACTGTAGGAATCAGGGAATTTGACCTTGACTGGCTCCCTACGCGGGCGTGGTTCGTCCTCCTTGGGAGCTGCCGCCTTGACGCCCTCAATGGCGCCAGCACAGAAACGTTCAGTCTTCTCGAGGCGATGGTTCACCTCGGCTCCTATCGCGCCTACCAATTCGCGAGCAAAGTCTCGAAACCCCATTCGCATTGAGCGCACAGCCATGTCCTGACTCCGACTAAAATCGCACTGTCGTTCTTGCACTCGGGCTAAGCGCTCAACACTCTGGGCAATGAGTTGTACCTTTTGCTCGAGGTCTACCTGAGGGGTCAATCTTAACGTGAGTTGTTGCACCTCCTCCAGTTCCTTGACCGCTTCACTCGCCGCGTCTTCTCTTCTCTTCTTCTCCCTCATCATGGCGAGTTTCCACTCCATCCTCGTTTCATCTTCCATCGCCTGCCGCTTCAAAACATCTCCTTCTGCTTCCCATTTTTTCATAGCGGCTTCCTGGTCCTGCTTGGGGATATACATAGTTACTTCTTCTTCTTCTCCCAGGGATAAGTTCGCGACCCATTCTGAAATCCGTTTCTCCAACTCTTCACCCTTGCTGCCACTGTACTGCCCTTTCTTCCTTTGCAGTGGCTGGTCATCTTCCTCCTCCTCTTCCACCTCTTTCAACTTCTCTTCTTCTTCTTTCTGTATCCTCTCCTTCTCTCTCGCCATCTCTTCTTCTATCTTCTTCAATTTGGCCGCCTGCTCCTCCCTCAAGGCTTTCTTCTGAGCCTCCTTCTTCTCCTTCCTCTCCTGCAGGATGGCGGCCATCTTCTCCTCCTCCTCCTTCGTGTAAGGTTGGGTGGAAGTACCACCCCGAGTCCCTGCTCTACACGTGAACGTGGGCCAGAAGCCCAGAGGAAAGAGGAGACGCCAAAGGGTCCCCCAGAGGGAGAACCCATACATCAGATAGTCGTCCATCGTGGTGTTAGGTGCACGACAAGGGTCCCACTCGTCACCACTTAGACCTACCCGGACACTACCCCACTAACTGACTCTCTAAGATCCACTACTCACAAATACTTTAAGGCTGTCACTACTGAACTAACAGCTGATCAGGAGGCATTTAAGGAGATCCCCCAAACTCCGCAAGAATTCTTTAACGTCGCAGTCAGGACGACGTGATCAGCGTAGTTCTGCCTGGCGATTTCGGCCCACAACTCAGCCGTTCCGGCCTACTGTGCCACACCGAGCAGCCCGCCGGTCAGTACCGGTCCTTGGAGGGGTTCGTGTCCCTCGGGTCAGTCGAGTCGTCAGACACAGATCATCAGCCTTACTGGGTCCGGTAGGGGAGTGGCTCAACCAGGCCTCAACACTTAAAGACGGCCTTCGTTTCAGCCTACAGCTCGGAGTTCGGACCCTCTACACTGAACTCAGTAGACCTGCCGGACAGTACCGGTCATCGGGCTAGACGAGTTGTTTAACGAGCACTCGCCGCTCATGCCCAGGGGCCAGTGCATTTTCTAGTGCAGGTTTGGCAGCAAGGCCCTATCCTTCATCCACAGAGTCCTAACACCTAGGACAGAAGAGACTCAATGCAGAAAGGAAAGACAGACAGACTCAAACTCAGCAAGTACCGTAGGGTGTGTGCACATCCACAGGGTAAGGGGATAGGCTGAGGGCTCAACGAGATATCACCAACTCCAGCTTGGTCAAAATCTTGGTCAGCAGCTCCGGTCAACGCCTTGGTCAACGCTGAGTCAACGCGGGCAACCCCCAGTCAACGCTTGGTCAACACCCTCGGTCAATGCCTGGTCAACCCTTGGTCAACCCTCTGGTCAACGCTCTGGTCAACGCCCAGTCAACCCTTCACCTCGGCTATGGCTGCCGGCACCTTCACCTTCGTCACCCTCGCCGCTTACTTCCCCTTCCATCACTCTTCTTCTTCTTCACTTTCGCTGTATTTTTTTTTTTTTTTTTTTTCACCCCCGGCTATGTCTGTCTTCCTCTCCGATATCTTTCCTTCCACACCTCTCTTTTTCTCTCTCCTTAGTCCCTCCTTCTCTGTCCTCCCTATCTTTCTCCTTCGGTGCCCTGTGATGAAGCTCCGCGGTTATGGCCGCTATCTTCCTCCTCTGTCGGACAGCGCAGCTCGCCTCACAGGTAAGTGACAACCAATCTTGGATCGCTCATCTCTCTCTCTCTCTCTCTCTCTCTCTCTCTCTCTCTCTCTCTCTCTCTCTCTCT